ACCCCGGATGTCAAAACCTGCTTTATCTCACTTCTAGATTGTTCCGTTGACCAAATGAAAATCCAAAAACAAAGTTTTTAGTATTTATGGACCTAACTAAGGTTTGTCTAGTACTTGAAGGCCCTAAATCTAGGATTTCACTACAACCGGCTGTTGGATGGGCTAGAATCCATAATATGGATGGCCAAACTAGGTTTAATGGTTGGCCAAATTTCAAAATTTTTTTGACCCAACCCGGGAATCGATTTCCCGGAGATTTTGAAATCTAAAATTTTTGGATCGATCTTACACTGAATCGGATCAGATTTAAAACCGAAATTAAAACTAATTGTACCTGATATGGAGTTCACAGTTCAAAGCTCTCATAGTGGTAGTTCACACCCAAAATCAGTTCCAAAAACCGGCCTCCAACTGAAGATAGTGTAGTGAATGAGACGCCGATTCAGCAACATTGTTTTCTACAAAACTACGTTCCAACTGCCTTTGATCGACTGGGATTTGTGAACCTGATTTTCCTAATGTTTTTCATGCAAAAACACAATGGAAAATTGATAAAAATTAGTTCTTGCAATGGCTAGGTCGTGATAGGGTTTTTGGAAGACAAGAGAAAAGAGGAGAGAGAGCAAGAGAGTGAAGAGAACAAGTTTTGTTCACCCTCTCCCTCCTAACCCCCCTTATATGGAGCACTTTTCTAATCTAATTAGGAAATTATCAAAATCTAATTTTGGATTTTGACTCTTTTAATAGATAAACATTATTCTCTTAAAAAGATAGGTGCTCCATACCTAGAACCATGCCCAATTTCCACCAAAATCATTAGTAATAGATCTTTGGCCCATTTTCTTTAATGGCTTACGTTCCTAGGTGTTGCATGGCCACTATGGGCCTGATATTGTATGGCATGGGACCCAACAAAAGTCTTACACAAGTTCATGAGGCTTCGACCCCACCTCTGAAAGAAGTTAGGTTGAATTCACTGCTCAGGGCAATGAACCCTGAGCTAATCAGCATGGGCTCAGTTTGGGTCCAACATTTACACCTAAATGATCATTGGGTTCAGCCACCCTATGAAGACCCAATGATAATGGACGTATGTAACATAAATCCTATCAGGTAATCAACCCTGTAATGGTCTCTTACACTTAAGCTATTGGCCCATAATCATTAGAACACTACTTATAGGGAAGGACCTCTCACATGAATGCAAGATATAGTATTACATTCTCTACTTGGATGGATCCCGGAATTAAAAACTTTTCAAACATTTTTCATAAAATAGTAGTATAATAATATATAAATATATTTTACAAAACTAAATATTTTGACCCATAATGGACCTCATTGGTTGGCATATCAAGGGCAACTCAGTCCACTACTTAGTGTAGTATCATAGTCAAGTTTGGGGTTATGTATAATTTTCTAATTTTGTCCATCTTTCTCCAAGGTCTAGGGCACAACTAAAAATTGGTCCGGGTTCAGTGTTTTTTCAAACACTCAATGCCTATGCTTAGGGTCTAAATCTAGCAATTGACAAGTTGCTCCAACTATTTGGCAGCACATCAATATTAGCCCTGTCAGTTTATCTAATGGCTGAGAACATTTTAAACTAACACGAGTTTCATGAGTGTCCAATTTAAGGGGTAGCTCACATAAGACATATCATTATTAATATGAAACAACAATGTACTTTATTCATTTATAGATAAGTATTTATGTACATTAATCTAATTGAAGCTAAGGGCATACACTATCTAACACTAGCTTCTAGGGAGAAAGAGAGAAGAAGCAACTACTCCTACCAGAGATTCCTAAACTTCTTCTAACTACAACCTCCCACTTCTGGAGATTAAAAGGAAACCCCAAAGCCTTGAGCACCACACCCAAACTGTCTCTTTAACCTATAACTGCAAAACTCTCTAATCGGCTAGGGTTTTGGACAAAAATCAATAGCATCACTTTCTTGGCAATCTATAGCTAGACTCTAACTCTCCAAACTCTCTACCATCTAGGCATAAAAGTTCTCTGAACAATCAATAACTTATCTCTCCATACACTTCTAATCGAAGGGTGTATGGGAAAAGAAAGAAAAAACAAAAAGAAGAAAAGAAAACTTGCTTTTATACCAAGATGTGATTTAATCCAATAAAATTCTGCAAATTAATTTTCTATTTAAGCAAAAAAAGAAAAGGAAGAGGAAGACAACAAGAAAGAAGAAGAAGAAGAAGGCAAAAAAGAAGAAAAGTTCAATAGTCTCATCTTCTACTTCTCTTAACTTTTATTAATCTTATTAAGACTAATCAAATTACAAGTCTACCCTTAAGGGGGCGGCTAGTTCATCAATATACTTAAAAAAAAAAGAAAAAAGTTTAATAGGCCTATAAAAGAAAGGCCCATTAACAAACAAAGTAACTAGGAAGAACAAAAATAAGACAATAATGGGCTAGGACCCATTTGGCCCAATCTCTCTACACCTAAGCACGACGAAACTTACCTAGGCACAACCACAATATCTAAGCTTTGTCCCAATTGAAGGGTGCTTGTTGTTTCACCCATCTACTGTGAAAGATAGGAATGGAAATGGGGTGGGTTTAGGGAGGGTTTTGTAAATTCCAAACCCTCCTTGCCTTCCCAAACCTCACAACCATTACCCTCCCCAAAATCCACAGTGGGTTGGAATTTTAAAATCCGAACCCTCTCTACACATGAAAATGCAAAAATCTCCCTGCATTTGAGGATAGGGAAAGTTTGGTAAATTGGGTCCAAAACCTACATCCAATTTTCTATTATTTCCTGTTATATATAAACAATAAACAAGCAAAATAACATGAACAAACATCAAAGTTTCCAATTATTTGATTGAAACATGTAAAAAACACATAAACTATTATTTATCATTTACCAGAAAACATAAAAAAATAAAGCTGAGAACTCACCCAAATAGAGAATGCCGCTGGCCATGGAGAAATGAACAAAAGAAAGTAGAAAATGAAGAAAAATATAAGCCAAACATGGGGGGTTCATGCAGCTGAAAACATAGAGTCTAGAGGTCGCCACCACTATGTTCTTTGGATGCTCAAATGAGGCTCTATCATCTTCTCTTAATCAAGGGCAGTCCCTAAAAATAATAAAAATTCTTGGGGACAACTTTGTCCCAATAATTACAAATAAGCCTTATTCAATAAGCACTTAAAATAAGTCACCCCAACCTTTCCTTTTTTAAGTGTTTGTTTTCAGCACTTATTTTGGGCATTTTCGCCAAACATGAATAACTACTTATTTTCCATTTATTACATGGTCCCACCACTTAAAATAATTTCCAAACAGGGGCTAGCGTCTAAGGTGGCATTTGATAATTTTGAAACCTGAACTTTGGAAAGTCGAAAAGCTATTTTTTTACGTCTGAATCTGAAAAGTTGCAAAGTACTTTTCTGCTTTTCAAAGCCTTTGAAAATCTATAGAGAGTTTGTGTTGGGGGTGATCCTCTGGTGTCTAATAACTAATAGTTTTATCACTTTGCCCCCATTTTTGCAAAACCCCAAGAACCAAACCCTTCCAATTAAAACTTCAACCCAAAAACGTAGTAATAATAGCACCTAAAATGGTAAAGGATCATAGGATAGGAATATAATAATGATTCAGAATTCTCATTTATGAAGGAGAAACTGAAAACCAATTGGATCTCAAATTGAGAAAACTTATAGAGCAATTATCGTCTAGTTACTCCAAGCTCCACAGAAATTTATACAACCAGATAAAAGATTCTTGAGTAGTTTGCTAGGTTTTTCTTCACAAACTGTAAAGCCATTGTTTTTGGTCAGTAGCTTGTTAATTATGTGACTCCTTTCTATTGTCAGTGGAGGGAAATACAAACAACGGAACCAAACAAAGACTACAAACAACCACTGGAATGATTAAGTCGTTTCGATGAAAATTTGATGCAACTCTAAGAGCTTCAACAGCAGCCTACACTTCAGCTTCATTTATAGAAGACATCCCAATGTCCTTACAAAGATCCATAGAACTTTGCCCATCTCATCTTATTACTCATATTACGCACCTTCCATCATCTGTCCTTGAAGCATTGAATTGATCTTGATATAACCAGTCTTTGGAGGGCTCCATCAAACTAGAAGAACTGAACTGGGACCAAAGGAGGGGATCTACCCAAGGTTCAAAATATTGATATGTATCATATGGGGAGCTTCCCAATATGTCCCTACACAGGTCTCAACCGGTTCAGAGGGTGGGTGGACCTTAAATCGGCCCCTCTGAACCAGATTCGAAAAAAGCTTAAAAAAAAAAGAAAACTACTGATACTGCCCGATAGTGAATGTCATGATTGATCACATAAACCGTAGCCCGTTGTACACATCTATGTTCACAAAAAATCTCGACGCCGTTAACAATGTATATTTTTAGTGAAAGTCTGTTCCCTGACAGTGAAACTATGAAACAATGGATTAGCATTAGTCATTACAACCCAATTGCAGATGGGTCTCCAACATCTAAGATTGGCCTAAAACCGAAAAATAAAAATAAAAAAATTGGCCGTTGGCCGTTGGCCCCAAGGCTGTTTGCTTGCAGTGCAAATTTAGACTGAATAAAAAATTTGCACCCAATTGTTTGTAACCATAATTTGTACTCTCAGTCTTTACACAATGCAATTTTTTTTATCTCATTTGCACTTGGTGCAAATTTTGCATCCCAAAAACAGATGCAAATTTTGTAACACTTCACTCCCACCTCAATTCTCTTTCATATAAAGCGGGGGCCACTTTCACAAACAAATAAGACTGAAATGTGAACAGAATTTTCACTCAACATATTTGCACTCATGCATTTACGCCAGTGCACATGCAATTCACACTACAAAGTACAAACTGCTGCAACTGCAAGCTTCTGCAGAATCTAGAGGCAAAGTATGCTTCTAGTTCTAGTCAATCACAGCCTCAAGAAGAAAGCTAAGCATTTATTCTTACAATCACATCAGGGGTATAATGAAAATAAGAAACAAGAAGAGACGATTCCAGCTTCAATTGGTAGATTCATATTAGCTAATACATAAATACATATAAAACCCAGAACGGATTACAACAAGGACAAGCATATCACACGGTAGAACACTTTGTAACCTCATCAGAATTCAGAACCTACCTGTCCCTGGTGTCTGTAAGAGAATAAAATCACCTCCAAGGGTTTCTGGGTCTAATATTCACACAGACACGCACACACGCACACATTTCTGTCCATTGTTATCATTATGTCAAACAGAAGGAAAAATAAAATAAAATCATTGCACCCCACTCCACCTAGCCCAGTCCACAAACTGCATACCCCCATAAACATTGTTAGCAAATCGCACACCAACAGTGAAGGCCATTGCAACAGGTGGGATCTGCTTTGCCAAAGGTGATGCTTCCACCAGGCATTCCAATCCATTTATAATCTGGTAGCGAGTATTAGAAGAAACTCCGAGAAAAACACCTGATAATTAAGGGAAACCAATTAGTAAAACACAGACAGCAGGAGAAACCAGCCAGACCGCTCAAAATGGGTCAAACCAAAACTGGATACAATTTGAACTCAATTCATTAATTGAACCAAAATGATACACAAAACTGGATAGAACCATTTGAACCATCTGGTATTTTAGAATTCCAAACCACAACCATCCAGTTCTTTATTTAAATGGAAAACATACAAAATTCACAAAGCGGTCAGAGCCATTCCAGCATCAAAGATATACAAGTTTTTATTTTATCTTCTCAGAACTGTTCAAGCGTAGGGCTGTCAACGGACTCCGAGAGTTCAAGATCCAATCCAATTCTCCCAGATCCAGATGATGTGTTTACATAATCGGATCAGATTCGGATTTTGCAATCTGCATCCGATTAATAATTGGATCAGATGTGGATGACTCCATCTGATCCAATTAAAATCCGAATTCCATTATATTATAATATTTATTTATTTTAATATATAAAATTTATATAATTATACTTGAAATTATAAAAAATATAATTTTATACATTATATTATATATGCAATTATATATAAAAAAGTTCAGTATGTTTTGTTTATATTAATTTATTATATATAAAAATTGAAAAGTAATTAACTTTTAATGTTTTCTGTATTTTAAAAAATTAAAGTGGAGTTGGATTAAATCCAAATATGACCTGAGTCCATTAGGATTCGAATTCGAATCCAAAAGATCTTCAAATACAATCGGATTTCAGATTCAGATGTCATTTTTCAATAATCAGATTGGATTTGGATTTTGCTAAATCTGATCCGTTTACAGCCATATTTGAGTGCAATAAAAGGAAAAAGAAGACAAGTCCAAGGAATCATTGTTTTAAGGACTAGTATAGTTGAAATTCATTTACGTACAAAAAGAGGGGAAACAGAGAGAGAGAGAGAGAGAAATGAACAAGTAAACAGCCATAACAGAGCATATCTTAATCAAAGTGTCTCATTGGATAAAGCCCTTAAGCCTTTCTAACAATACTCCACAAATCGTAATTGTATTGTAAATCATAAGATTATTTCAATTTTTTACAAACTTGTGAAAAAAAATACACTAAAATAGTAATCATATATAGGACAGTTATTTTACCCTATTTTAATCCATATCTACCATGTATCTAAACAATAGAATTTACCACTTGTACAAAAGAAACCTAAGAAGATATAAACAAGTTTGACTGAAATCAAATATCTAAATATAATGGAAAATAACCTATATGTATCTAAACAATATAGTGGATCTTTAACCTACATATGATGGAAAATAAACACAATGTCTAAGCTTAAACAACTGAAATAAATCACTTTTTAGTAAGGGTTTCAAAAAGTCTCCCTTGACAAAATTAAATATAAACAAAAAATGGCATTAGTAAAGAACATATTCTTAATAGAACTTATTTGAATCACAGTGAATTGTATAAATTGTAAGATTTATGAATCAAATCATATGATTCAAATACAATTCAAACAAAGTTGTAAGATTTTTGCAGAAAGGGATTCAGACATAAGATTCAAATCAAAACCCTTGGCATTCATGATTCAAATCGTGAATCATATCATAAATCATAAGATTTTGACAATATTGCTTTCTGATCCACTCTCTGTGGATGACATTCTTCGAGGATGGCAATATGTGGATTCCTCATCTTCAAGAAGAGTTATTATTTCATGGACTCCAACTATGAACTTCATGAATTTAAACTTTGATGCCAGCAGCTTGGGCAACCTAAGAGAATCAGGTATTGGTGAACTGTTTAGGGATCAATCATGAAGCTACTACTGCATGGCCATTTATTCCAGACCAAATGGCTAAAGTGATTTAATTAGATAGCAGCAGTTGCTGGTTCTTCAAGGGCTGAGATTGGGGAGATCCCTGAACTACATACATAACATAGTGGAAGGGGACTGAAGAGTTATAATAGATTGGATTAAAAATAGGAGCCTAGGAACTTGACAATACAAGCATATATTGGGCAGTGATTTAAAAGGCACACCTAGGTGCATATGCGAGGTGCATTTTAGGGTAGGCACCTCGCCCAGGTCCTAGGCGCAGCCCTTCAAGGCGCACGCCTGGTGTGCCTAGGCGTACGCCTTTTTAAAATTCTGCGCCTTTTGTTTTTGACCCTAACAGCTGGGCCGGTGGCTCCACCCCCGTGCCATGCCCGTCGAGGCAAGCCCAAACAAGTCCATGTTAGGGTCTTAAATTCTTAGTTCTCACACAAAAAAAAATAATGATTTTATAATTTTAATAGATATTTAAAAAAAATATTTTAATAGGATGAATAAATGAACATTACCAAAATATCTTCTTAAAACCCCTATTTGGTAATGTTGTTCATTCATCCATCCTACTAAAATATCTTCTTAAAAAGCAATTAAAATTATAAAATCATTATTTTTTTGTGTGAGAACTAAGAATTTAAGACCCTAACATGGACTTGTTTGGCCTTGTCTCAAGGGGCACGACACAAAGGAGGCTTGTAGAATCAAGAATGCAATATGTTTTACATCACATTAGCTACTTTAAGTAATGCAATTGAGGAAAAAGAGATTGTGGGTTTTACATGCTTGAAAATGTTTTATATGTTTGATTTCATTTTTAAATTCACATTTGAATATGCTTTACATGCTATGTTTATGTATTTTAATTTTAGATAATAGGTTTTTTAAAACATTTATTTTAAAATTTAAAGTTTATATTTTTATTAATATTATGCTTAATATTTTTTATTTTGCGCCTTGGCCAAGGCGTGCACCTTTTGAAAGTTGTACACTTTTTTTCTTTTTTTGAACCTAGCGGTTTGGCCGGCTCCACCCCTAGACCCCCAACCACGCCCATCGAGGCAATCCCAAACAAGTCCATGTTAGGGTCTTCAATTCTTAATTCTCACACAAAAAAAAACAATGATTTTATAATTTTAATTGCCTTTTAAGAAGATGTGTTATTAAGATGAATGAATAAACAACATTAGCAAATAGGGGGTTCTCAGAGCTTTGGTGAGCAAGCGAAGGGCGTGGCACAAAGGCGACTCATAGAATCAAGAATGTAATATGTTTTACATCACAGTAGCTACTTGAAGTAATGCAATTGAGGAAAAAAAGAGATTGTGGGCTTTACATGCTTGAAAATGTTTTATATGTTTGATTTTATTTTTAAATTTTCATTTGATGCTTTACATGTTATGTTTATGTATTTTAATTTTAGATAATAGGTTTTTTAAAACATTAATTTTAAAATTTAAGTTTATATTTCTTATTAATATTATGTTTAGTATTTTTATTTTTTTGCATATTTTTGAATTTTTTGGAAATTTTTGAATTTTTTGACATTTTTTATTTTTTATATTTTTGCACCTTGCTTCAAAAAGGTGTGCACCTCTCCTTGTGCTTTGCGCTTTTAAAACATTGAGTTAGGCCCCTATGAAAACCGAGATCCCAGGCAGGAGACAATGGAAGTTTTGAGGGATGAAGAAACCTCAAAACAGACTCCTTAAAAGGGGAGATGGAATAAAGGGGAGGAAAAAGATCTTTTAAAGGTCGATTACCCACCCAAACATCTTCCCAAAAAAGAATGGAGTTACCTGAGCGAACATCATACCTTACAAACTTGAGGAACTTAGGGAGAACGTTGGATATTGCTTTCCAAGGAGTAGTGAGTCGAGCCCATCAAGATACCCCAACATCCCATCCAATTTCAGAACAGCCATGGATACTAGCCACCACTTCATGCCAAAGCCTCTCTTTCCATAGACCACCTCTAGAGCCATTTGCCTAGAAGAGCTTCATTTTTGTTAACTAAATTCCCTCCTAACCCTCCTTCCTTACAACGGCTAACAATCTCCCAACTAATCAGGTGATCCTTTTTCTCTTCTCCCGGTTTCCATAAGAAGTCCCTCATCAGTTTTTTCTAACCTCGACTACCCTAGAGGGTATCCTAAAAATGGATAGAAAGTAAATAGGCATAAGATATCACTAATTTCGTCACTAATTTAAATTAGTGTAGAATACAATAAAAAAAATCCTTTTTAAGATAAAGGACAACAATAGGATCAGATTATATTAAATTATAACAGCTTTCATTTTTCTTTGAACTGTATTAAGAAAGCTTTCCTTCTTGTAGAACAGTTTTAGTTTACTAGCCTTTTATCCTCTAGACTATTGTAACTGTTGATATGAACCCTTGATTAGGGCCAACTTAAATATCCAATTGGCATCAATGAACTTGAATTCCCTTCATAGAGTAGGGAGAATATTGTTAGGCAAGAAGAACATCATTGCCATGTGTTTACAGTCTACTAATAAGCATACCAATCATCAAAGCTTGAGCACCAAAAGATGATTAATTGAGAACAATTAATGCAAGAAATACATTTTTTTTCTGTGAATCATGTACAAGTGCATCATACACCATGTATCTAAAATGTTATGTGGGCTGTCTGGTGTATAATGCACTTATTTTCAAGTACAAGTGATGGGGAGGGAGGAATTATGCTGTTAGAATTCCCATTTCCTAAAATAGTTACATTAGAAAGCAGCTTAGCTGCCTCTGCAGCTTTGCTGCAGACAAAATGGAGCCTATGGAGGCATGGAAGCATTTGTCTTGTAGCATGTTTTTTTGGACCCACCATGTCTGCAACACATTATAAGGACAGCTCAGCTTCCTGCTAATACCCTACTATTAAAAAAAGAAGAGAAAGTAACATAATGGGCATTTCATGTTTTCCTCAAACTCCCTTTTCTCTCTTTTTCTTTCTTTTCTTATTTCTCGTATTTCTTCTTGTTTTCTCTTTCTTTACATTGAATCTAAGAAAATCAGATTGACAAAAAAAAAGAGGGAGGTTCTACAAGGATACAACATGTAGACTTGCAGAAATATTTATTTTGGTAATTCATTTACAACATATTTCGTGTTGCTGCCAAGGTTGGACATCGCCTCGTATGATTGCTGACACATTTTACACACTAAAATTGTATGAATTTTTTAATACAATATTTTCTCCCTCTATTCTCTTCATTATCTTGTTTTACTTTATTCTACTGTATTTTGAAACCATGGTTGTCAAGGCAATACCTAGGCGACAAGGCACCCATGGAGGGTCACCATGCTTAAGCACCTACATATTACTCAACTACATTATTCGTTTTGTGCATTAAAATACTAGTTTCATTTTATTATTTTCTTATTTGTTAGGATTCAATCAATACACATGTTAGTGTATGTTGTCTTAAACCCTTCAAGACTTCAAACCTGAACCGATAAGCAAGGAAGAACTTAAAATTTTTTACTCGTAAAAAAAGAACATTTGTCCTAGGATAAAAACAGGGACTGAGTCCCTTATTTTCTGAGTTTTCTTTTCTTTCTTCTTTTTCTTCACATGAATATTTATAGGTGATCATGGGCTGGACCAGGCTTAGAACCCATGATAAAGGCTTCAGCCTAGGCCCGGGCCCAGCCCACACTCCAGGCCTAAATTACAAGCCCAGGCCTGGACCAGGCTTACAGGCTTTCCGGGCCTAATGAAAAAGAATTAATTATTTAGAAAATTTAAATTAAATAATATATAACACATGAAAAAAACATTGCACAACCCCAAAACTAGGCTAGGCTTGGCTAGGTTTTGGGCCTATTGCACAAAAATAAAGGCAATGGGCTGCATTTAATTCCTAAATTTGGTTTAGCTTGGCTTAATTATCCTTTGTAGATGAAGGCAAGGCCTTCTTTCCCATTCTTAAGCAATGTTGGGACATGAACCAACACTCAACAGTGAGTGTTACCATTGAGTTTGTCCCAAGTCCCACAATGCTCAAGAATGAGAATGAAGGCCTTGCTTTCATCTATAAAAGGTCTTGCCTAAGAGGACAACTCTCATACTTGATTTGACTCGTGTGTTGGCACGTGTTGACTTATGTGTTGGCACTTATGCTCAAGAATGGGAATGAAAGCCTTGCTTTCATCTATAAAAGGTCTTGCCTAAGAGGACAACTCTCATACTTGATTTGACTCGTGTGTTGGTACGTGTTGACTTATGTGTTGGCACTTGTCAACTCATGAATATTTATTTGTTAAAAAATTATATTTTATATAAAATAGCCTTGATTCCTACAGCAAAGCTTAGCCTTGCCAAGCTAGAAACTCGTGCTTGTCATAACCTCAACCTCACCAAAACATGAATTCATGCTCATTGTTGGGATGCACCAATTGTGGCTTCATCAAGATAATGAAGTCTTAAGTATAAGCTTGTGACTTCTCCCACAAGAAAGATAAAGCAAGGATTAGCATGCCATACAGCAAGCCCAGGAACTGAGATTGCACCACATGGTGAGACCGCAAGAGTGGTGTCAAAGAAAGCTTGTATAGGCCAAAACGGCAATACCTGGTTCCCCACTCTATACATGTCTCTTCTCCAAGGCAATCTAGGATCCACCACCACATATCCCTTTATCCGCCTTAAATCATCTGGAATGTTCTCTAGGCTATACATGTCTACATGGCCAACCCTTCCATATAAATAGGAGACTTGTTTTCTTAAGGTAGGACCTTTTTGGCAACTCGGCAACCCTAATTCCCTATTCTTCTTCCTCCTTCTCTAACCACCATCAACTTACATTCTTCGGCATCCCAATCTCAATTTTCCGAGCATATATACCATTTACATCCATTGATTTAAACCATGAAGATTATAGATGATAACTAGTGAAGGTGATAGATGGTTTCTGGTTGCTATGGAACCTAGAGAGTTACCTTAAGATCCATGGTTTTTAAGTTAAAAATAAAATCCATCGCATAAGGTGACGCCTAGGAAACTAGGTGACAAGGCACCCCCCTTTCACCTAGGTGCCTTGAAAACTAGGGATGATCATGAAAAACTGAACAACTGAACCAAATTGAACCAACGAGACTGAAACAATGTTGTGAAAATCTTACGATTTATGATACGATTCACGATTTGAATCATGAATCACAAGAGTTTCTATTCAAATCTTATGTCTGAATCCTTTTCTGCAAAAATCTTACGATTTTTGTTTAAATCCTACGATTTGATACATAAATCTTACGATTTTCATTCACTAAGATTCAAATAAGTTCAATTAAGAATTAGTTCTCTACTTCGTTTTTTTTTTATGTTTAGTTTTGACATGGGAGACTTTTTTTAAATCCCTTACTAGAAAATGACTTATTTACATTATTTAAGCCTAGAAATTGAGTTTATTTTCTATCATATGTAAGTTAAAAGGGCCATTGTATGCAGATTTGTTTGATTTTCAAGTCAAAGTTAATTATATCATGTTAGACTTCTATTGCATAAGTGGTAAATTCTATTGTTTACATATATGGTAGATATAGATCAAAAATAGTGTAAAATCACTTTCCTATATATATTTAGCCTTTTAATATATCTATATTTAATTTTTGACAAGTTTATATAAAATAGAAATAATCTTACGATTTACAATACGATTCACAATTCAATTCGATTCAACTTTCTCTACAATTTACAATACGATTACGATTTTCAAAACATTGAAGCGAACCAAAAATTCTAGTTAACCAAACCAATGGGTTCGGTATACATATATTTATATGTATTTATAATATATAATATATTATTTATTATTTATAATATAGTATTTTATATGTATTTCTAATTTTTTTATTATATATTTATATTATAAAAATAAAAAATAAAAAAATTGACAAACCGAACTGATCAACAGGGTAACCGATTGGTTCGGTTCAGTTTCGCTTACCAATTTTCCATGGTTCAGTTAACCGAACCGTGAGCACCCCTATTGAAAACTATGTTTGAAACTTCAGATGCATTTTAATTGTTGAGTCCAAACTAGCCTAAACTTCTAGACCATAGGCTAGCCATTGCACTGATCAGCTTAAAACCCTCAAAACTAACATTATGATAGTAAAAAAAAAAAAATTGTCGAAGCCTGCAAGGTTAAATACGCTAATTAACGTTCCCAGAGTGTGAAATACTGATGGTGAACTTTATGCGGCAAAAGGGGGGAGAGGAAGAGAGTTGATTAAGCCCTTTATTTTCTCTTTCTGTTTCTTTTCCTTCATGTCAGCAACGTACTGAATCCATGGTATCTGGTCAAGGTTTATGATTCCATCAAATTTATGCATGCAACCAAGACTTCAGCATTGCCAATGGTAAGGACAGAAAAATCAGATCTTCTACACCAAAGATAAATAAAACCCTTTAAAGGTGGGGTCAAACATACCCCAAAGGGCAGCACTTTTCACAAGAGGTGGTACAGGTATATCCTCCTCTGATTTCTTTATGCTCCTGATCAAGGAATATAAAAATGAAGATATTGTTAGCAATAATCTCATTAAACATAATGCAAACCAGAAAAGTAAGCAGGCCAACTTAAAACAGTTTCTATAAAGGTTAAATGACATATCAGTTGAACCCTCAATGATATTTACAAGCCGTTTGATAACAGTTGAGGTAGATGAACTGAACGCTTTCTTTTTTTAGTGGATAAAATAATTAAGTATTAAAATATTCAAGGGAATAGTAATTAATCTGACTTCAGCTTCAACAATTAGGGAGCTCATAGCCTCCTTAATAAATTATTCACTAAAAGACCATTAATAAGTCATTCAGTTCAGCCACTTCATCTGTTATCAAACAGCTCCTAGGTATTACACTGAACACAAAACAAAAAAAGCAGAAAATAATTCATATAAAGATACTTTAAATATTTATAGACAGCATGTTTACCGGGTCTGTAAGCAAATAACCAATTTAATATCTAGCCAAAAAGCATAAAAGTAGTGAATAGAGCATTTGATTTTAATCTAGTGTTTTTAAAAGAATACTAGACCTTGAATTGTTGAGGATACCAGTTTGTGGTTCAATAGGATTGTTGAACAGAAAAGAGAGAAAAAGCACTCAACCCTTAATCAAATAAATCAGCTAATTTTCAATCTAAATCATCTTGAAGGTCATATACTCCTAATAATCTGAAGAATCAGATCTTTTGAGTGCTCACTGTTGAAGTTGCAGAGGTAGTGTTTTAATTCAACTGCCATCAAATAATCATAACAATTATGATGAAGGAGGATATATAGTTCTTTCTTTCTATCTACCATTCTCTTCTGCCAGTTATAAAGATGATTCCTCTTCTCCAGTTTCAGGGAAAGACCCAATCCAAACACCACTTTTCACTTGTATCTTGCGATGAGGTCATGAGGATATTAGTTAGGTTCCTATGACTGAATATTTAAGATATTAGGGATAATGGGATTTTTTGTATTGTTTAACTTAGAATTCTAAATATTTTTACTTAAAAAAAGGATCCTACATATTTCTGCTAAAACTCACCCAAAAAGCAAAGATATGGCAGTAGTGAATTTCTTGTGCCAATATATGGTTTCTGAAAACAGTTTCACAGTTCAAACAGATGGGCCAAGGGTCCTCTGGGTTTTATGGTTTCTTTTGTGGCAATAGGTTGGCTCAATTCAAGAAACTGGAATCTAAGTGGTTAGTGTTCAACAATTCAACCATCTGGTCTGATCTAGTTTTGAAAACATTGACTTGAATTAATAGCATAAAACATCCTCAACCATGCATTTGATCAGATACACCACCTAGTACCAAAATAAACAAGCATGCGTGCTAACTAATAGCAATTATTAATTTGACTAAATGATATCACATAATAAGTTAAAAACATTAGTGTTCAACAGTTGAACTGATGGTGCAGCTTGCAATCTATGGCTAGTACGTTTTGGAGTATGACAGTCAAAAAATAAAATCTTTTAAATTTTGCAACATCATAGACGAGCTTGTGCATGAACCCTGTCCTGCCATTGTGTTCTATCAAGAGACATGTTTTCTATGGTCCTCCCCTTGCTCTTTTAGAGCCTTATTTCACAATCAAAATGTTTGGTATTAAAAGAATGCATTTCAATTAAGGAAAACTTGATAATTTAAAATTAAAAGAATTAACAAAAATTAGTGCTTTCTTAGCATCAAGAGTTTTTTTTTTTTTTTTTTTTGCAAGAGCATCAAGAGTAAATGAATAGCCGATAAAAGAGGGGTGGGGTAAACATAAACTTTTTAGGGGTATAAATGTGGATAACAGATAAACTCTAAAGGTTGTACCTACAAGTAATTTGATCTTAACAAATAAATAACTTTACAGTAGGGGTGTAAGTAAAATTATTATAGAAAATATGTAAATAACTTAATAATAGAGGAGGCTAATAAAAATTTTGAGGTCAAGACAAACAATTTGTATCAGAAGGGTGGAGATGCAAATCATCCCCAGTATACAATTTACCAGGCCTTGAGGAATACTATTCAGACATTAAGCTTATATGAAGAATTGAATATCATATTCGATCTGATATTGTGGTGATACAATATAGCTAAATTTTTGTGGAATTAAGATGGAGAATTAACCACTCCAGTCACAGATTGTGGGCAGTCCTGAATTACCATATACTAGACCTTAGCAGCCTAGATTGTCTGAAGCCACCCCTACTTTAGAGCAATCTGCCCTTGCTGTCTCAGGAGATACAGGTCATGGAAATTATGGGCCATTGGAGGTGGACATGGTGGTCATGGTGTAGGAGATCATGCAGATGTCAGTCTTGTCCCCTTTCTCAGCTGTGTTGTGCTTTCATTAATTAAACTAACCAGGCTCACCAAATCAATCAATCTTACCTCAGACATGCTCCCATCCACCTCTTGCTCCCTGTAATTTGCTATAATGCCGTTAATCAGTTCCAGCCTCATCCACTTCTGCAGCTTCTTGAAGCTTTTCATTCTTTTCAAAATCAAGGAGCTTTTATTTCCGGTAGGCAAATCATTGATCAAATCCTTGTAGCCCATGAAAGTCTGGAGGAGATGAGAAGAAAAGGTAGCAAAGGTTGGGTTTGCAAGCTTGATTTGGAAAAAGCTTATGATTTTATGGACTTGGCTTTACTAAATTGTGGTTTTGGTGATAGGTGGAGAAAATGGATTAGGGGATTAGGGGATGCACTCAACCTAATCACTATTCCATTCTGGTAAATGGAGTGGCAAAAGATTTCTTCTAGGCAAAGAAAGGTTTGAGAGTTTGAGACAAGGGGACCCATTATCACCTTTTTTGTTTACCATCATAATAGGTGTTTTGAGTTGACCGGTAAAGAAAGAAGATAGCCTTGGGCTTGAGAGAGGTTGGAGGAATTGGTAGGGAGTAGGTGGTAGTATCACATCTACTTTTTGCTGAAAATGTCATGATTTTTTGCCAATACAAGGGTGAGGAGGATGTGACAAACATTGAATTGTTGATGAAATGCTTCAGGAGGATCTCAAATTTGAAAATAAATCTAGAGAAGAGAGTGTATCAAGGAGACATGCAGAAATCTTGGGGTGTTCAATTAGCTGACCTTCTTACCCATCTTATTTGAATGTTCAGTTCTCTTGAAAGCCACTTGAAGCGTCTGAGTTGATTTCTATATTGCCAAACCACCTTCTTACCTTTCTTCAACCACCCAACTACTATCTTTGAATTCCCTTCAATAACCAACCTTGAGTCCCCATTTCTTCAGCTTTTTGTATCCCAAAAACTGCAGCCAAAAGTTCTGCCCTTATTGAATCACCCCATTCAATTGGACCAAATACAAACCACATATAGTACCACGCTCATCCCTTACCATTCCCCCCAACTCATGAAGGACCAAGGTTGCCTAAACTGCTGCCATCGAAGTTCAATTTCATCCAACCACCAAAGTGCTCCAGTTTTTGTAATCCTAGCCTTGATAGGTTTTCTAAAGGATTAACCGCGTGGAAAAATAATTATACTTCCCTTGGGGGTTGAACCACACTCACAAAATCCACCTTTATCAACCTCCTATCTTTCAGTATTCAAAGTTCCATCTTTTGTGGCCAAAGAATTCAAAAGATCATGAGAGACTTCCTTTGGAAACTGAGAAAAAGGAAAAAGGATCACTTGATCAAGTGGAAGATAGTTTGCAAAAGTAAAGAGGAAGGGGGTTTGGGTATTGGACAGGTAATACTAAGGAATACTTCATTGTTGGGTAAATGGCTATGGAGATTCCCCAATGATTTAAATAAGCTATGACATATAACCATTAGAAGCATGCACGAACTTCTCTAGAATGGTTGGGATGCTAGTCTAATTGCTAGAGCCTCTTTAATTTCACTCTGGAAAGCAATATCAGCTTTTAGTCCCCTCTTTCTTCCTTTCAAATCATAAAATGACTATCATGATACAAAACATAATTAAGAATTATAAGAATTAAACTTAATAAATAAATTTTCAGCAACCATTAAGTTGAGATCTAAATTGCATCTACCAAACCAATTTGCAGGTTATCTATGGTGACCTATCCTTTTTTGGGTAATAGTGACTTATAAACTGAACAACTTTATTAGTGTAGATCAAAACAAAAGGCCATTCATATAGAGAGGACAACTTGAAACTACTTAAATATCCATACAACATTTCTTCTAGAGAGAAAGCTATGAGTTCAGTTAAGAAAGCAATAACACAATGATAGCTCATTGAACCTTGTGCATACCACATTCACAAGCTAAATTAAATGGTGTAAACAGTACAAATCTACCAAAGTATTTCATGAAACAAAATTTAGGCAAATAGAAATATAGTCTGTCAAAACAGAAGCATACCGTTTGGTTGTCATGATCAAATTAGCAATCCCCTGACCAATAAGACCACACACAAATCCAACTGCCCCATACATCAAGCCCTGGAAGAAGAACATGTAAATAAAGCATATACCACTCATATGCATGTACACACATACATGGTTACATTCGCATACAAACGGAAAATTATCTGAACAGAACCATTTTCAAGCATTAGAAACATGAAAGGAACATAAAAAAGTGAAAGCTATAATGTTGCTAGACAATGAATGAAGGAATCAAACTTCTCACTGTAATGTTGCCAGAAAATAAATGAAGAAATCAAGCATTCCAGATGAGAATTATGGTTCCACTATCATTTCAACACACACAAGGAAAATGTGTAACCTTATAAAAGTATGTTGCAATCCGTTGCTGAATTGAAAATCTACATCCTGGCCTTTCAGCTTCAAACACACTGCATAAGAACAACATTTGAGGTGTTAAGTCATTTTCATAATCATGTAAGGTGTAAACTGGAAGCACAAGGAGAATAGCTAAGTTCAAGTGCCAGTACCTCACCATTATAAAGTCACAAACACTAGAACTATGAAAGCATTTTAATCAAAGAGAACTGAATTAATTATTTTTCTTCTTTTTTTTTATTATTTGTAAGTTCCTCTTCATTAAGGAATACAAAGAGTATTATTGCCATGATTACAAACCTACTAGGCAAAGCTCCACAAGCATGTTGTATGCGTCCAAGGAACCCTTTTGACAGAGATGGTTTTCCAATACGAGCATAGGGTGCTAACATGCTGACCAAAGCAATGTTAACAACCAAGCCAACCAAAAGATCTGCCATATACAACTCAAATTCTGTCCAAAAATCCTTGCCCCTCTTTTGGATTTCAGCAAATGTTGCACAACAAGAATCAATGACTATCTGCATCATGCCAAACCAGTATGGACAATTTCATATAACAGAGTACATTGAACTTACAAGCAAAATGAGGTTGGTAGTATATCAAGTAGCCAATATGCAGTACATGATATAGGCTTGTAAATTTATACATCAGGCTCTCTTACCAGCCTGATTTATAGCTTTTTGCCAAATCATGCTACAGCCACTTTTTCTTAAGTCAACAATTATAGCTTTTCATCATCCTCCAATTGATTGTTAGGATACAATAAATATAATTAATAGCCACTGCCAATGCAAAAGGTTGCTATGTGCACAATTTGGGTAAATAACACCAGAAACAGTCCTGACCACCAAAACTATATTTTTACACCATAATGAAAGAGAGCTTTCTTATAAGAATTATATTGGGAAAAAAAAAAAGAAGTTCAACAAACCTCTGTTCCAATTTTAAATAGGAAAGCAGGATCAGCAAGCATTCGGTCACGCAGCAAGGAGCAGGACCTGATTGCAAAGCCTAAAGGCCAGACTGAACCCTACAATTAGAAAATCAACAAGTTCAAGTGAACAGAAAGAAAAACCATGCAAAAAAGTTAATTATAGGCTGTATTTGGTTCCTGAACATGACATGGAAATAGAACTGGAATAGGTCCAAATTCCAAGTTCTAGTGCTTGGCATGCAAAAATTGCGGTGAAATTGGAATTCCAATTGAACACAAGGAATTTGATTTTAGGCTAACCACTCGGTGTCTCTTTCCATCTCTACCCAACCTGTTTCTAACGTGAGGTTCTCAACACATGCAAGCACTACGAACCAGATATTTTATTTCTCATATTAATTCTGTTTTTATTATTATCATTATTATAGACATAATTTCGATTCAAACGGGTGGAGAATCTCAGATATTCTTTTTCTTTCGCAACATTTGAACAGTAAACACCAGTTCACCGGTTCTTTGATAACCAACTGCTTGGGAAAATGTTTGGTATGAAATTATATTGTAATAACTAATACCCAGACTCATACATCAGACTTCCAAATGCGTGAACCCGAATTCTTTGAATTGGAATTCAAAAATCCAATTCTGATTCCATGCATCAAACAGACCCGTAGAGAATTACTATTTTCTACCATATAAAAAAGGATCTACCTGCAAATCCAAGTATCTGAGAAGAAGAACTTTGCGAATTCCAACAGTCTTCGCAGCCTCCAGCATGTCGGATGGAAGCTTAGCCCCCCGAGCTTCTGCTTCTTTTAAGACCTCCTCAAACTTCATTACTGGACCGAATTCCTCTTCATTGTCATTCTCCTCGTAATCACCATCACCGCCACCGCCGCCGCCACCTCCTCCTCCAGATGGAAAATTTCCATTGCCGTCAGTACTACTAAGAGGATACCCATCACCACCTGCATTGTCAGAATCTGACGTAAAGCTACTTTGAAAAACCTCAGAATCCTTCGCTGAAGTAGCATCCGCTCCCTCTTGCAAAACCGTGACTACAGGAGGATCACTGAACTCCGGTTTAGCCTGCGGCTGCGACATGCACCGAACCTCAAACCACTTTTTCCCCTTTCCTGAGAGATGCATACTGCTTGCGCACCTACTCGAAAGCGTCAAACTTGCTGCCCTTAGAATACTCCTGAACTCTCCATTACTGCTTGTCAGGGAACCCAACGCCTTCATAGTAACTATTGAGTTTCCGTTGCATTGCTTCATCGAATCAATGTCATTCAGCGAGTTGGCTAAATATGATAACCTGAGGCTAGAAGAACAAATCGCCATTTCCTTCCCCTACTCTTCTAATCCTTAAAGTGAAAAACACTCAGAGAAGTCGACAAATAAACATATATCTCCACTAGACAATAAAGAACAACAAAAGCAACTCTCAATTGGTCACGATCAATCGAAATAAATATTGCTAAGAGCTTATTAAAATCTCGAAAGCCTCCGAAGTCCGAATATCAATCCAAAAAGACTATACCAAACCCTAGCTCTCCGCGACGATTCAAACCAATAGAAAAAGTAAAACCAACCCCGGTTACAGTTTTCAAGGAGAAAAAGGAAGCTCTGAAACGACGCTGCAATGGAAGATTTCAGGGTTGTTGATGTGATGCAGGGGCATGGCGTATAAATAATAGAGCGATTGAGCGTGAGTGGGAGGGAGTGTGACAGACCGAGTGTGAGAGTGAGCGAGGTGGGCGAAGAGGAGTGGCAATTGGGCGGGTTGGGTTGGGTTCGGTTTGGGTTAAGCTTCAACCCAACCCATCTGACCCACTAACCCGTAAATGACCCAGTTAAACCGCCCAACCCACTAATCCTATATGCATAAATTAAATAAAAATATAACATAAATTAAAGAAAAATATAACAAAATTTATAAAAAACATAAAAACAAATTACAAAAAAATATAACAAAAGTTATAAATAAACATAGAAAATGAAAAAAATAACAAAAAAATATGGGAAAATAAAACAACGACTATAAACAAATATAGAAAATAAAAATAACAAAAATTACAAGAAACTATTATAAAAGTTACACCATAGGTAAGAGTTTTTATGTTCAAATTGGGCTTTAGGCTTTATATAAGGGTCACGCTCGAACTCGAGCCTATACATTTTCTATTAATAAAGAGGCAAAGCTTGACCCAAAGCCAACAAAATGCAGCCAATGAATAGGTTTGTTCGACACCAATTGATGAAGACTCTTTCTTAGAGATATAAATCGGGTCGTATTGGGCCCAGCCCATTACTATAGAACGTGGGCCATGCTACAGCTGAGCTCATATCTCTAGGTTGCGTCAAACTTGGATTTTCGGGCTCACACTCTAGCATGACACAACACGACAAAATGGGTCATGCTAGCTCAAGCCCACGGACCGACCCATAGCATGGCTTGGCGCAGCCCATATATATTTATATTTATATTATTATATATATAATAATTATATAATTATATGCATATATATGTATATGTAATAATAATTATATATAATATATTAATATATATTTTCAATTTTATTATACTATCTATTCCAATTGTATTGTGATTTTTTAATTTCATTTATAAACAATTGTATAAATGAAAATCTGTTCGTCTTCACACACTCCAATTGTTTTCAATTCTTTTTAATGTTCAGATGGGATTGATTAGTAAGAGAGGAGTTGGTTTTAGACGAAAGAAATGACTTGATCAAGAGAGAGTAGAGTTGTAGAATAGTGGAGAGAGAGAGATGAAATTTTGAGGTAGATAACTGTGACCCAACCCATTAAATAGCACTTTATTGGGTTAACCAACCCGCTAGTGACCTAGGCTAAATGGTTACAACCAAAAAAGTTAATTAATGGGTGGATTGGGTTAAAAAATTGCCACCCCTAGAAAAGAGTGCCCAGACCCGGCCCGGAACAACTATACTACTTTAAAAAGTACGCATAGCCTCAAGAATATTTCTGAAATTTTGTGATGACAAAACTTACTCCTCTATATTAAAATTTATTGATAAAAATCTATACTACTTTAAAAATTACGAATAGCCTTGAAGTCTGACTTAAGGGATCTGAAGGTAGAATGTTATAGCTCAAGCATGTAAATGGACCTGGTCTTAAGGATACCCTTTAACAACTTCAGAACTGTGGCAAATTTACCAGAAAATGTGGATGACTACTAATACATCTACAGAGACAGGGAGAGTATGTATTTTATTCCTTTCTTCGACTGCCTAATTTTCGTTGTATGTATAATTAATTTGGACCCACCAAGGGTATATGGATTACTTTATGAAAAAATCATTAGGATTTGATGCAAGTATTCTTTAATATGGGAGCCGTTTCATGGTAACATGCTTCTATTTGTAGTGAAGTTTGTATACAATCTTGGCCATCTATCAAATAAGTTCAACTTTGGTCTCTTGCTTGCAAACATGGGCACTAATATATCAAACTTATAGGGCCCATTTAACTGGGCCATTCCTATTTCAATTGTTTGGTTGAATGGAATTGGAATTCCATTATTATTCCTGATTCATCCCTCCCTTCTCTTGGGAACGAAATTAGGAATTTTGATTCCGATTCCACTGTGATGACTACCATTCATGATTTTTTTTTTTCAGAACATCAACTTTTTTAAAAAAAAAAAAAAAGTATTTTGAACAGAGTCTAGTGTTCTTTGAACTGAAGTTTGTTTCATGAACAGGGTGGGGAGAGGAATACAATAATTCCACTTGGGGCTCAACTAATGACCTAGCCAAAACAAGCCTTCTAGGGTATTTCTAAACAAAACAAATGAAACTTTTGACAAATCATAAGCTTTTGTGGTCTTTTCCATGTCTGCAGTAAGCATCTTCGCCTACTAGGCTGTTAAAAATAGATGAAAAGGTTTCATTTGAAGCTTTCTGATTTTTAGCTGTTTTGATATTTTTTTCGCTTATATATCTTCGAGTTTTTTGGTCTATAAAATATCAAATAGAAAAGGACCATTTTTCTCTTTCAAGTTCTTCACAGACCCAAAGACGTATGAAAAAGATGCATCAAACACCCTCTTAAAAGACAAGAGTGTAACTTGTCTTTACATTTAGTCTAATATAATTATTTTATCTATAAAACCAAAAAAAAAAAAACAAAGGGATAATTTGGGCAAGATTGGATTGAGAATTTGTTAAAATTTCAATGAGCACAAATCCTAATCAAAACCTGATACAGTTGAAAATTTTCCTATCAAACAATCCTACTTGCAGCCATACATAGAAGACTTAGACACAAACATAATTGGCTAATTAGGAACAAAATAACAGTTAGTATAATTTTCATTCAAAATATATGAACAAAAAAAAAAAAAACAGAGGAATGCGAATGAGACAGCAAGAGAGAACTTTAGTACCTCCTTGGCAAATCGAATTGTCCTTTAGAGTTCCTCGGTAGTTACACTAACAGAGTAGCATTTATCAAAGAAGACAGAGCATAAGTGGTGGCAATAATGAAGAAACCCTAACAAATACAGAAAAAGAGACAAGGAAAGAGAGATATTTACTTGTGAATCAAATTTGGGGATGTGTCTAAGAGAGAAACTGCAAGAGATAGAGAGAATTGCTGATGTACAACAGTGTGTGAGAGAGATAGCAATTAGAGGGAGTGCGAGTGCGAGAGAGAGAGACGACTGAGCAAGAGAGAGTGAGAGAGGGATGACTGAGAGCGAGAGAGGGCGACTGAGTGTGTGTGTGTGTGAGAGAGAGAGAGAGAGAGGGTAGGAGGAATATTTTAGCGACAGTCGTTTGGCCTCTAGCAGCAGTTTTAATCAACTGCCACTAAAAATCTATCTTTCTAGTGGCAATCGCCAAATAGCCAGGTCAAAAACTGCCACTAGAAATTTATTTTCTTGTAGTGCAAATAGGGTAATTAGTTATTGATATTAGATGAATTGAAAAGACTTAATTTTAAGATATTCAATGCATTCAATTATATCTCATTAAATCCAACATTTAAGGTATTAATTTGCATTCACCTTCACTAAATCATATATTTAAGACTTCTTTATTTCTTCTCATCATTAAATTGTATAATTAAATACATATATAATAAATTAATAATTTCAATAACATAAAAACTTATACTTTTAAAATCTACCTGAAAAAATAGTGTTTTCATCTAGGTGGGGGTAAGAAATTAAACCATTTCGGTCAAATGGGCCAATCCATGTTGCCACAATTAAATAATAAAATTCAAAAATATATAAAATACAAAAAATATAGAAATTAAAAAAATGGGTACATTTTTTAACATCATATGTTTGTCATATTTAATAATAATAAGTATGATAAACAATGTTTTAAAAACCGACCCACTTTTGCTTTCAGGTCACAGGTCACCGGTTCAACTATCAAGGTCAAATGAGTCAAACTGCTCTATGTCAACACTATGTGTGTATGTAAAAATATATATTTTATCAATAAATAGTAAAATTATATTTTACATATATCATAGTTATGTTTTACATATATTATATATAATAAATGTATTATGTTACATTTATTTATGTTTTTTAATTCCGTTTTAAATTTTGTATTTATAAAAAATATTAAAAATTGCAATTTGAGGCCAAAAAAGGGTTTTTTTTCACATAAATAGCAAGGCAATGCGCATAATGCCCTTGGAACATATAGATCTTGAAAGTTATTCAAAAAAAAAAAACCAATTGGACATCAGAGTGCAAAGTTATGGATTCCAAAAGTTTGCACATAATTAAGTGTGCAACTTGTGACTTGGTTACTAGATCGAACAGGCCAATGGTTGAATTGCCCAAGTTAGATGGTTTTTAACCAAAATGAGGAGTTTCAATAGAACCAAACCTAGAATTAATGTCGAATGACAGTTTGAACGGTTCAATAAGCCAGGTCAACAACAAGTTGAAAACATTGATGATAAATAAAAAATGATTTTATTGAGGATGGAAATGAAATGTAAAATTTAAAACCAATTGGAAGTAAAACTATTTTTCTATTATCTCTCATTAAATCTCATATTTAAGGTATATTCTCTTATTAAATCCTATATTTAAGATATATTTTTCTCATCATTAAATTGTATTAATTAAATCCACAACATTAATTTTAATAATATAAAAATAAATATTTTGAAAAAAAAAAAATCATTTTCTTCCCTCTTGGTGGTGGGTAAGCAATTCAACCATCTGGGGTCAAATCTATTAATAAATAATGTCATAATTAAATAATAAAAATTTAAAATAAATAAAATATATAATACAAAAAAATAAAAAGAACCGGGCATGTCATTAATATTTTATTTTCATTATACTAAACAAAATAAGTATGAAATGTAAGAAGTATTTTTGTAAAAGATGAAAATGGAATGCCAAAATTAAAATCAACCTAAAAATGAAATGATGTCATAGTCAAATAATAAAAATTTTAAAAATAGAAAATACAAAGAATCACAAAAATAAATATTATGCATAAGATATAATGTTATATATTTATAAAAAATAAAATATTGGATACATATATAATATTATACATTCATTATATTGAACAAAAATAAATATTATACATAAGATATAATTTTATCAATAATGGAAATGTAATACAAAATTTACTATCAACGTAGAAATTAAACTATTTTTCTTTTTGGGTCATGGGTTAGTGGTTTGGGTCAAATGGATTAATTGATGATA